TAATCTGAAAGTGTTTCTGTCTTGTAATTGCAAAATTTCTCCCCGGCCGGGAATTGAACCCGGGTCTCGCATGTGACAGACGCGGATACTCACCACTATACTACCGAGGATCCGACAGTCGACGTTTCACGATGCCTTACGACCTTCCGACTGCAATTCGCACATGAGCCCACCCATCTCCTTTCATCTTTAACCCGCAGATCATGGAATTTCGCCAAAAAGGGATTTCACAGAGGAACTCTCATACACTTTGATGTTTTCCGCATTTCTCTTACCCATTGAACACCTTCAGTTAAGAATTCGGATCCATGGATTCCGAAGAAACTTTTTAAAATCAATTTTGTGTTCGCATCTGCTTGGCACTCTTTCTTTTCTGCTGCAGAACTTCATGAACTTGGCTCATTCATGTAATTTGCCTTCGCATAACTTCGCATAAGGAACAGTTGCTGTAGGAAGTGAATAGCCAGATTACCATCCTTGTTCCAATTACTATTCTTTTCCATGCTTCTCTAATAGGTTCATAGAAGATATTGAGAAAACTGTAATTTTGACAGCCTACACCTTTAATTGCACAAGTGGGGATAATTGAAATGAAAGTGAATATTAGTCACATATCCTTGATGATGCCGGTCAGCGAAATGGCATGTCATGGTATTTCGCTAATTATACAAACCCACTTCTCCTAATTTTCTGTCAATTTTAATTTAGATGATGAGATTCACTTAGAATTGCGCATCTGAGGGAATTCCCAGAATGTAACTTCTTGGCTTAATTATTTGTTTCTCTTAGGAAAACGGATTTTGTGAAAAGTTTGTCTCCTCTGCCTCATTCTGGCGACTACTGCTGGGACGGTCTCACATTAACTGGCATCAGCTTTTTTTCTATATCCGTTTTTTCCGTTTTTTCCTATTTTCCCCATCTTTACTTGAAAACTTTTACCGTCACCGAGATTTTTGATGTCTCTGAGACCAACAACACCTTTTTTTCTACGATCGCCCATAGTACTGTTTGCATTTTACGAACGTGCTACATGGCGTTGAACAAGAGCAACGGAGTGCTGCTTATCACCTTGTACAACTGCTTATCTGACTCTAATCACATCTACCTTACATTTCCTCTTTCGGACTTACTACCGGAATCGTATCGGAGCGATTATTGGATGAGGAGTAGTAAAAGATTCACTTGGCTTCATGGATACAACGGTAATTACTGACTAAGTTGGACCCTTTCGACATGTAGATAATTGGTCATTTTACCGAAGGTGACCATGCTTTAAAGGCACGTATGTAGCCTTCAGGAAATGCTCGGATTTCGCCGGTTCTCGCAGCTTTCCAATTGCGTTATAGTTTAGACGATGGTTTGTTCTGATTATCCGCAATTCTGCAAGCCAGTTTGTCCGTCTGCTTAACAATTCTCCAATCAAACCATGTACAGGACATAAATATCGAGATCTAGACTTACAGAGACCATTTCCCACCCTCTGATGATATACACTTCAACCATTCGTCTATAATCTTGCCCAAGACCAATTCAGAAGGTGGCAATGGCAATAGCCTTCGTCATGGTCAACGAGTAACCTTAGCGCCAACATGTAAGTACCTCCTGTCCTACAGTAGGTGATAGGTGTCGTGGTGAATGAAGACTAAAGACTTGGCGCACCACATTGATTTACCCTGTCTCCGAATCTACCAGTTGGAGAAATCAATCTGTTCACGACTTCACATTATCGAGATTTGGAGGGTGAAATCTTCAATGTTCAATCCTTCTTCACGGGAGCTCTCGAATGACGAACTTGATGTCAAAAGTTCCGCTCTCCAGATTCCTACCATCTAAAACAGTCCCTATGCGGTACAATGCTGTCCCGACTGTACCAGGATCTGAACAATGGAGCTGCTGCTTTGTCGTGTACAAGTAGAGATTACGAACGTAACTTTTGTGAACGTTCCATCTCGCTATAGAAGGTTATGTGAGAGTTTTCAATTAATGATGACATTAAACTTGTATACATGTAATCTTTCTGAATATGCACTGGGCAAATTGCTCCAAGGGAGCGTGCAAGCAAAAAGACGCCCTCAGAAAGGGAGCGGGAGATCCCTGCCGACCGACGGGTCCGCGAACTGGATTCGTAATATCGCAGTCCTAACTATTGTCGGTGGTTAGATGAGAGATTCTAAAAAATAGTAATTTAAGTGAAATCCATGCCGACCGAACGTTCATTTCTCATGAGATAGCAGTACAAGGCTTGTTCGACGAGCTGATTGGCATGAAGCTTCTTACCGTTCTTGGGCGGTAGAAAGTATTACACCTACTCAGACATTTTACCGACAGTGGCTTCGAAATTACGACTGAAGGTTAGTAAAAACTGAATACCGAGGATTTTTTACTCTGTATACGCCTGGGACAGCTCATTACAGAGCTCGCTGAGATGTGCAGCAGAGTCAATCACGGCATTCATCGGGTAGTCATCCCCTGAACACATCTCGGATACGCAATCCACAAGGACCTTTAGATTTCACTTAAAGTTCTAGTGCATTCTTGACCGTTGGAACTACCGTAACTCGAAATGACGTAGAAAAGCGATAGTAATGCACTTCTGCTGTGGGCATAGTCTTTCATTTATTACTATGGTCCCAGACCCGAATAGTCTCCTTCCCCTGAACATTCATTGTACTAAGAAACTTTCTAAAAAATAGATTAGAGAGAAGAAATTGAATATAACGCTACTCTCCATGATTATGGGAAGAGCCAGACCCTTTATCACTGATACCAAATTGGTGCAAAATCGGCGAAAAAATTACGCACAACAAGTTGACGAACGGTTCTCCTTATCTCCCAGGTTCAGGTTTCCTTATCTATGACGTAAAAAGCTGAAACCATACAGTTCAAGCTGCCTTTTCAAATCCATTGGGCACCAGGCTTGGGGTGTTTCTTGAGGAAGCACTTCTTCTTGCAGACGATGCTGAGCAACTCGACAGATGGTGGCTACAAAAATCTTGTCAGCTGAATCAGCAAACACCTTTTTTCTGCTGCGTTTCACACATCGTCGGGGACGGACGGGGTGATAGCCGCCCGCAGCTTCGGACGGTGCAGCCGATGTTTTCCCGATCTGTTGTCGCGCCCGTTCTCTCATACTGTGTTGGTGTTATCGTTTCATCTCATCGGGGTTGAAGCTCTGACGAGCCACGAAGTGTTCTTCCCACCCACCCACACTGATCACATGCTTCCTGAAAATATCATCAGAATGATTTTCACCAGCAGGAAACGATTCGTTTCATTTTCTCGTTGCTCTACCCCTTTACTGGGCTTGATTACTTACTGGCTAGAGCCGACATCAGTACGAACCTCTGAGGGCTTAAGGGATGATCCAGCTGATAGCTAATGCTCCTTCTATGATCGATACTTTGCTCCTTCCTTCCAAGCCTTCTCATTAGTGATGTGAGAGTGCGTGTAGGTTAAATTTATCATGCAATCCATATGAATAATTGCATATATGACGCTTCTGGTTAGCCAGTTTCCTACCACATTCCCAATAAGTCGCCCCCGAACTTGTCATCGTCTATACTTTCTTCTTACAGAGGTAATGAATACTGTCTAGACATAACTGAGTGAGTTCCTTGGTGATCCATTCATCAGGTTGGTTCTCGAGAATACTTTTCGATGTATTGCCGCTTTTGAGGATTTTTTGGTCATTTAGAAGACTATCCAAGCTTCTTCTACGAATGTCCGTAACCAAATCACTGAGTCATGACCGTAGGTGACTTATATTGAGCCTCATATGCCTGAGAGTCTTTTCTCCGCTTTTAGAGCCGACGGAACATCGAGATCGCCTTTTCATCGGTGAAATCAGACGGGATTGGGAGCCGAAGAGAGTAGAGGTATTGGCACTGATTGCTTAAGAAATTCCAATCTCCGAAACTAACTTTGAGACGAGACACCGTATACCAACCATTTTCAGTCGTTCCTGCGTGCAATCCTTCCAGATGCGACCACCATTGATGCCTATGCAGAAGGCAGCCCTCTGGTACGAAATCGAGGTTTCGCCTTCGTTAGTTTTGCTGATGTGGGAGCGGCTGTGCGAGCGAAGGAGAAACTGTTGAATTCTCCAATAAAGGTTGGACTTCGAAAATTATTCATGACGTTGTTCTTCCCCTTCTGCTTACATGATTGAGACTTGGATAATCCTCACGGTGATACCCTCCGTCACGAGTCCCCATGTGAGGTTGCGATTCCCTAGCAAAACTAGCAAAACAAGCACATGCCCTTTTGCAAAAGAGAACTCCAATAGCACGAACTGCTCCAAGAAGAACAGGTGGAATATCCTGGTTTGTTTAGAAAATTAAGAAAAAAAANTGAATAATTGCATATATGACGCTTCTGGTTAGCCAGTTCAGCTCCCTACCACATTCCCAATAAGTCGCCTCCGGACTTGCCATCGTTTATACTTTCTTCTTACAGAGGTAATGCCTACTGTTTAGACATAACTGAGTGAGTTCCTTGGTGATCCATTCAT